TACCACTGACATCTTCCCAAGCGGAGACTCTGAAATCTAATTAGTTTGACCAGAAAATGGTGACCAAGGTAGCAGAGTGTATTATGCACAGAGAGAGAGAGGCCAGCAGGGTGAGTGAGGGTCCCTAAGGTTAACTGCAGCTCAGCAGTATTGATAAGGTGGGTAAAAAAAAAAAAAACTCTGGAGGGCTACTCCATTTTAAAAAGGCCCTACTATTAGAGGCAACCTTGAATTTGCCATTTGAGTTTTATGAAAGCATCATTGCCAGGTTAGGGTGCTGAAGAGAGAAGGCAATTTTGTAACGTGGCTTGTCCTCCAGGGGTTACCCCAGAACTTTTCAGACTTTCCAGAGTGCAGAGAAGAAAGCTGAAGGCCTTGGTATGGCTGGAGAAGCATAGTTGCTGCTTCAGGGGAGCTTTTTAAGCTGATAAGTGTTTACTGATGTTTGTTGCCCTGGGGAGTTTGGATTGTTAAGATTGTTAACTACAGTTGTCATCATCATGCCTACAAACCTAAATGTGCAGTGTAGAGCAAAAATCATTCTGATCTCCAGTCCACCCTGCAGCCAAAACAGCTCTGGGAGGTTGACAAATCTTGTCAATGATGACTTTTAAATATATTATAATCCATCATGTTTTCTCGTTAGCTTGATCTTCCAAAATTCTAAAAAAAAAAGCCTTTCGTCATCCCAATAAATTGGTATATGGAAAAGATTCAGGAAACATATTTATTCACCTCTCAGCAATGCAGTGGAGCCCTGGCTTAGGCATGCATTTTTGGGCTGCTACCATGAATCAGCCGTAGAGTTTGCTACCCATAAATGGAGGCATTAGTGCTCGACACAGCCGTCATGGGTTTGAGTCCCGACCCGATGATGTTTGCCGCATGTCTTTCCTCTCTCTCACAACCCACTTTTCTGTCTGATCACTCTCAAATAAAACCCTTTAGAGCAGATAAAATTTCAAATTAAGTGACTGAAAACCTGGAACGTATCCTTAACATTGGGTCCATGTGAACAGGTTGGTTGGTTCTCCAGAACGTAAAGCAAGAATGAAGATAGTGTTTGTAGGTTAGTTGTTGTCTGACTTGGTCTGCTGGGAATGTTTGATGGAATCCCCTGTGAGACGGAGCTTTAACTCCCATCTCCGGCAGAACTTTGAACACGCTCAGGGGGAGGTGTGGCACAGTGAGTCTGAGTGAACCATGTTCTGTGCCTCCATTGTCGAAGCGGCTTATCGGAGCTATGGCCACAAGGTTGTAAGATCCCCTCAAGACCTTGGTTGTCAGCCAAGGTCTTGAGGGGATCTGTTTTGATGGCCTTAAGATCGCATCTCTGCTTTTTGCGTATGATGTGGTCCTATTGGCTTCATCAGGTTGTGATCTGGAGCTGGTTTGCAGTTGAGTGTGAAGCGGCTGGGGGAAGACCCAGGACACGCTGAAGGGACTATGTTTCTCAGCTGGCCTGGGAATGCCTTGGGATTCCCCTGAAAGAGCTGCAGCAAATGGCTGGGGAGAGGGAAGTCTGGAGAAAATGGATGGATTATTTTAACACAATTGCATTATTTGTAAGAGAGTAAACATTCTGTGGAAAATACAAAAGTAGTACACCACATTCAGACTTAATGCACTGACTACAGTAAACTACCTATGTATCCTCAATACAATTTACTGATGTAGATGTCTTCAAAGATACAAATTTGTAGTTTGTAGGCTGTAAAACAAAATACACACAGACACATATATATATATATATATATATATATATATATATATATATATATATATATATATATATATATATATATATATATATATATATATATATATATATATGTGGGCTGCACATAGTGGAAAAACAAAGAGTGGATGTATCTAATGGTGCACACTCCAAACCAATTCACAACTATTATTTTTCAAGTAAAGTCTAAAGCCGTAATAACAATACTGAAGTCTGACTATAATTGTGTGATGTCTAAATTTACAGAAGTGGACTTGTTGGTTCAGAACACTTGGACCATATGTTAAAAATGTGATGCCTCTGTGTCAATTACAGTTGACTTGTCTTTCTGTAAGTGATCAAAATGTTTTGGCAAAATTTTGAGCTGATAAAAATGTAACCAAGACCTACATTCTGTTCCTCATAATCCCACACCAAACTGTGATGTCCCTGTACTCTATATTTTTTCCATGCTGAACAGCACAAATAGAGACTTGATAAATGCCAGACATTAATCTGAAACGCCCAGCTCTAGTTTTTTGGCAGGAACAACCTTGAGATAATTTGACTACTTTTAGAGCTTCAGAGGTTGTTGAGCCAAAAATATTTGAAGTGTTCCTGAGAGAATGTGACCACAAATATAAAAGGCGTCATATACTCAGAAGAACACTGTTATGCTGAACATTTAGCTTTGGTGAGGGTCAAAGATAATCTCCAAAATCCCAAGTGACCTCTCACATGTAAAATAAGGCCAGCTTTGATTTCTGTGCCGTACTGAAAATCCTCTTTGGCCATTTCCATGAAGACTTGTCCCACGGTGGTGTACTTCCATAATTTAACATGAAGCTGATGGGAATTCCTCAGTTAGAAAGTTAACAGCTGCCACTCTACAAAGGAAGGATAACATACTTTAAAGTAGTTCAAGCCCATTGAGTTAAATTCTGAATTTAATTCAGAGGCAATAAAGGCACAATAATAAGCTGACAACAGCCGAGTCAGCGGTATCTAATCAGTTTACATACAATCCACTGCAGTTGATGCAGAATGCCCAAGCAGTGCTACAGAAAGACCAATATTGATCTCTCATAGTGACTCCGGCCCACACTGCCCAAACCTTTCCCTACTATCAGGCATTAGAATCAGCTTCATCTAAGGCTGTGATCAGTTAATTCTTGTGTTTAATTAAGAGAAACATGACCACTACTGGACTCGTCTTTGATTAAATCAACACATCCCTATGTTGCAGGATCAAAGACTCGATCACATCAGATTTTACACATTCAGGAAAAAAAATCACATCGGTTGGTGGAGAAACACAATATATGGAAAAAAAGTCAGAAGGTTATTGATAGGATATAGATAGTCTAAAGAGCTTCTGAAAAGAGATCCTTTAATGTTAAGATCTAAGAGGACATTTTTTTTAGTTCCCATGAATATATTCTCCAAAAAAAGGGATCAATTTATTCAGTGAATTTAGAGTAAAATCGTACTTCTCAGCTTGTACTTTTCCTTTGTACTTTATCATTATACACTTTCTCCTGAAGGTTTTGTTGAAAACCATGTTGCTTAGCAAACATTAGGAAATGTAGTACTTTATTGAAAGATGATAGGTCTATCCATTGTGTTCCACATTTTTGAGATTGAGTCACAGGCTAGCATATCTTTGAGCACAAGAAATACATCCAGGAAGTTCCATTCTCCCATTGATAGCTGTGAGTTGCTGAAGATATTTGAGAACAGGATCAATAATTGTTTGATTTGAGGTTGTACACGTGTGTAGAAGTGACTCTGCAGGTAGTGCAAAAGGAAAAAAAAAAAAGCACAAGCCAGTCAGAGGAAGGGCTCTAAAAGTTACAAACCTGGATTTTTTTCTGCAGAATGTGGTCCAGCTGAACCCACTTGTTGTTGGGTTACAGCTGGATCTCTCAGGAATGCGTGTTCCATGTGACTCATGCTGACACAACGTTCAGAGGCTGAGCACCTATTAAGCAGGGGCTCTGAACGAAGCAGTTGCTCGCACATGACTTAACAGTTTCTGCAAGCAACTTGTTTTTGCATGGGAAGTGCTTAAAAGCCCAAATCTGAGCCAGCAGCAGCCGTGAGAATGTAGGGAGGGGAGTGTCGGCCACTCAGCACTCCCCTGGATTAGAACGGGCACGTCAACCGGCAAACAGACAGAAAAGCCGACTGTAGCTCCTTTAGCAAAATCTAGGCAGTGAATGTCAATTATACATGAAGCGGCGGGTATTTTGAGAAATCAGCAGCATTCCCCAAGTGGACCAGCACTCCCTCTTGCCTCCTCTCTGCACCCGCTTCCCATCTCTTCACCATGCAAGTCTCTAGCCTGGAGTATCAAAGAATGATCTAATGTCACGCACTGAAGAAAGGTTACTCTCTGCATACGCATTGATATTTCTGCTTCCATCTCTGACCTTTTTCTGTTCTGAGCTGTGATGTTTTTTTCTTTAGTGCAAACTTTGCCTGGCTGTCTGTCACTTTCTGTCTGCCTCAGGGATTCCTAAAGCTCAGGAAACCAGAATAAAAAACATGCAAACTGGAGAATTCACTTTAAAGTTTAAAATATACAACACTGAAAAAACAAATCAATTCATAATCAGTTTTTCTACTGTTGTTTTTTGCTTTAATTAGTTTCCTGAGTAAGATTATTAACATCTTATTAAACCTGAGGTTGTTTGCCTTCTTAAAGGCAGCTGATCCTGTTTCACGCTCAGCAGCCAGTTTCACGAGGTCTCTATTTCCAAGCATTAAATGAAACAACATTCCTGGCACTTTGTGAACTATTAGTGACTTGAAAAACAACCATGAATTTAATTGATTTCCTTCAAACAGTTTGAGCTTGGAATGGAAAAAAGGATAATGTTTTCATCAGTGCTCTCACCATCAGTGAACTTTGACAGTGTCCTTATTTTTTTTATATACACAGAAGCAACATTCATTGCACATTTTCTTGCAAAACCTAAAAGGCCAACATTCATGGCCAGGAAGACAGATCTGTTATCTGTAACCATTAAAAAATTATTTTGAATATTGTTAAACCTATTGCTATGTCTTGATAGTATATGAGAGATATAATTTCCTACTACCAGTACAGTAGTAATACTGAACTGTACTGGTAAAATTATGCATTGTATTTTTACAATGCGTTTCTTCTTGTTCGGCATACACACACAAACTTCATCTCCATCTCATGCAACCAATATGTGCGTCAAATTTTCTAAGTAGCTCATCCTTATACTTTTCTGTTTTTTGTGTCTTACTGCAGACCTCAGGCCCCTTCCAGACGTGGCAATGACCGGTAACTGCACACGTGAGTGCACCGAGTTTGGGCACTCTGACTCCTGCTGGATGCCCGGCCAGCCTTCCCCCAACCGTAAGGTCTCCAAGAACGCCCCCAAGCTCTCCACCTTTGTGCCTTACCAGGAAATGGATGGACAGGAGCACCTGATGGCCAACGGCAGCCCGAAGCCCATGGTAACAGAGGAACGTGGGACGGGTGGTGGCGCTGGTGGCAGCAGCTCCAAAGTGGCCAGCATGAGGTTCATGACCCCATACAGCAGTGCCTACCCTGGGAGCGGAGACTCATCTGGCAAAGACTGTGGCCTCGAGGAGATCCCACTGAGCCAGGCAGCAGAGTACCACTCTGCTACCACCCCCACTGGCCAGACCTCCAAGAGAGAGATCTACCTGTGAGGGTCAAGCTCTCAACTTTAAATCCCCAATGATCCACGATGCCGCTCACCGCCTCACCTCCAACCTCCTCACATCCACCCCCTGTGCCTACAACTCGCTGTGCTGCAGCACGACTCACCCTTTTTCCTTTTTACAACTGCATCACCGAACAAGGCTTTAGAACACCCCCACCCCGTCTTACTGCCGCCACCGCTGACACTCCCCTCTAGAAACCAATCAAATGTAAGAATAGACAAACGAAAATGGAAGAAAATTCAGTTTTAGCTGCTGTGGAAGGAATGTAAACTATGCCACACAGTTGTGATGATTTCATGGGAAACTATTCAGCTCTTCGCGTATTTGAGTTAAATTTTTGTCTGTGGCATTGCGCGTTGTTGCTGTGTCGGAACAGGAAAAGAACAAGGACTTCATGGGGGCTAGGGCAGAACTTCTTGTAAATCCTACTTAAATATACTGTGTAATCTTATCTATCCTCGACTTTTTTATTTTATTTACTTTCTTTGTTGACTTCGGACGCCGTAGAAATCACATTTTTTAGTGAAGTTGAATTCAATCAACGGAAACAGCTCATTGAAAAGACGTTTTCAGAAACGCAGCTGTTTCACAGTCACCGGAGTTGTATCTTAGTTTTTCCGCAGAACAGATCCTTTTTTCAGTGTACAGAGCTGTAAATATTACAAACAGTGAAAGAGGAAACTGCTGTGGCTCTCAGTGTGGATCTGTGGCTGTTGTGCTGTCTGCAGATCTTCACGTATCGTCACTTTGATGGACTGAAAATCTGGGCGCACACAGGGTGACAACATCGCAGCATTCGGTGTCCCACTGCAGGAATATGGACTCTTGAGCATCACCGACGGTGCCAAGTTACGACCACAAGACTTTTTGTTGTTTGAGTGTTTCAGTTTTTTTGTTTTGTTTTTGTTTTGTTTTTTTAATCCTTGCAGCTTCTCAACACTGCTTTTGTGGGAAAGTACATCCTTATTTTATCAAGAGGAAGCTGACTCAGAGGATTATGACCTCATGTTGCTCTCAGTCGTTGACCATATTATGAAAATTGTTATAATGGACTTGTTTAACAGTTAAATATAAACACACAATCTTCAACATGTGTTACATTCCCATTTCATTGTTTACTGATGAGAATCGAAAAAGGTTTTGGGATAGAAAGTTCTGTTGCCATCAAATCACAATGTTCATGTTTAAGAAGAAAGAATGAGAATACAGAAATTGTAAAAATAATTACAGCCTTCTTTTGTTCTATGGGTTTCATGCTTAAGGATGTATGTATGATCTGGTCTAAAATTATTTAAATCTAAACCTCAAATTAAGGAATACCCACAACAAACTCCACATTATTTGTAATTTTTAAAAATGAGACAAAACAATGTCAAATGGAAACACCATACAGCTGAATACACCATCAGTGTGGGTTTTAATCGTGAAAGCAGAAACAAGCTGCTGCTTGTGAGATGCTCCTAAAAACCTATAGACTGTAAACGGTAAACTACTATAAACTATAAGCTGTAGTTTGCTGTCATGACATGTGCATGTTTTAGCGCCAGTCTAATGTTGTCAGAAAGACACATTAGTGATCTCAGAGAAGCAATTGTTGCTCCACATCAGTCTGGGAAGGGTAATATGATAATTTCATAGCAATTTGAAACCATCCTCCTACCAAGCTAGAGAAATATTATTCTGTAATCGAAAGAATTTACTTCCACAATGCTGATGGAGTATTGACAAAGGTGTACATTGGTTTTACCTATGCTGTGTTATTCTCAGTAGATTAGTTGGCTTTTTATGCAGAAAATTGCAGTTCTCATACATTTTGATTTTCTCGAGGTATAAAATTCCAAAATAGAAGCCATTTTTGGTTAAACGCAACTTAGTTAAAATTGAGCTGCAGGGTCTTGGCATTTTCTCCATTTCTTATAACTACAATTAAAAGTTTAAATGTCCCATTGTAAAAGATCAAATAAAAAAAAAAAAATCCTAAAGGTCCATCCTCTAGGGAGCAGATGTGAAGTCCAAAACTGCATATACTTTCAGCACAACATTGGGGTAAGAAAAATTACACAAATTTTCAGTCAAACTTCAATGACTATCAAGTTATGGTCCAGTTTTGGTACAAACACAAACAAGAAAAAACACAAAAAGAAAAAGCTGAGTATTTATCAGAAAGTCCAGCTGGTCTCAGATGGTTGAGCAAACATCAATCGTGAAGCTGCTCCGGCAGCTAGAATATGTTAACCACAGTGTTCATGAAGACTGTTTTGTTTGTTTCTGAAGCAGCTGTTTCCTGTTGATACTGTCCACTGCAGCTGTTCTCACTCCTGTGTGTTTGACTTTAGAGAGCATCTCCCTGCTGTGTTTGTTAACTCGAAAGAAGAGCCCTTGGGTCATTGTCGCCGCTCGTTAGTTTCCAATTCTTTCCCACCTCTGCGTGAGGCTGAGTTGCTCCATGTTTAGCAGGAGTATTTATTAAGCCAGTTTGCTGTGTCAGGTGGGCGGGGGGCAGCTGGGGAATGTGGCAGACAGTTGTTGTTGTGCTCCGGTCACACAGAAATGCAAGATTAATGACATCTGAATGGGCTTTTGTCCACTAACCCTCCCACTCCCCCACACATGGAGCTCAGCAGAGAACGTCTAATTACAACCTGAGGCTCTGCATATCACCAGTGATAATTTGCATGAGGAAAAGGGAGTTGGTGTGCAGGTTCAGTAATTTCAGGTTCAGGTCAAAATGGCTACTGAAAATGATGTGAGATTTTACCTGAACTGATGGAGACTAGCAGAAGAGGATGAAAAGAGGATATTGATTACCCTGCTCTCTGAGATAGTTTAGCTTTTAATATTTAATATACTAAATCAAGTGTGGACATGTTCAAAGTATACATTTTCTTTAGCAGACACAAATAAAATAAAGTAAATGAAAACATTTGGATCTTAGATAAATCTTAGTTTAAAGCTAATGAAGAGCTAAATCTGCAAAAAAAAAAGAACAAAAAGAGAAGTCTGTTTGCTCCACTTTATACACCTTACCTTAAAGAAAAACATGATTAGCAAAATAAAAATGAATGGAAAAGCATTTCTAATTTCAAAAACATGTTTTGCTTATTTAAAAACATCCATCAAGGTTAAAAACTGAGGATGAATCCACTGTTTATAGAGAGAGCAGCAGACCTGATATGGTGGTCATCAATGCCCAATGAATTTAATATTATTAAATATTAAATTCATTACACACAATGTGACACATTTCAAGCATTTCGTCCGTCATCTTTTCTCAAAGGTGGCAATGTTTCTGACTAAAACATGTTATATTTTTGAACTCATCAAAGTACCTGCTGCATCTTATTGTTTTAGAATCCAATTGCAAGCCCCAGGATTGGTTATAGTTTGTATTTAATAAACTATTAAACAAACTATTAGACAAGTTAATAAAAAAAGTAAAACAGTGTCCAAACGCTTGACTGCTACCGCGTTTCTGTGACCATTTGAAGGATCCAAAGTGATGCATTTTGTACCATTTTAGTTAAACATGCCTGTTTATCACATCCACAAGGTGAGATCAATGTCTTTCTCAAGTGAACAGTAGTGTAACTGACTCATTAGTTTGGTTTCTTTGCACTCAGCACTTCTAGCCTTCACAGTCAGAGCACCACACCAAAGCAACATAAACAAGTTGAAAGTCTTTGCAAGTGAACTGATTACAAATTAGGGTCATCAGCTGGGTCAGGCAGGGTTAATGTCTCATTTCATGAGGCAAACAGCTTGATGGAGCATCTTAGATTGCTTCTCTCTAACTCTTGTGTTTTTATCTTCAATGTACAATCATCCGTTACATATCAGACAGCTAATTGCTTTGTGTTGTGTTTCATATTTGGTTCAATTTGAGGTAAAGCTTGACGTGTGGGCTCTTCTGCAGTTGTTCTCATGATTCAGCCTCCGAATAAAGTTTGATTTATTCTCGACATATCTGCCCGTTCAGTAAATATGCTCATACAACGACACACATACATCAACCGTCATTCAGCTGCCGCTCAGCCCTACCCGCGGAAGAGATTTAGAGCTCATGAGTGCTGCATGCGTCTGCGGGTGATTTAACACCCGAGCTCAACGGTCTGATTGATTATTTACAGGCGTATCGTGGCGGTCCACCTTCACTCCTCTGCTCCTCTGCTACGTCCAGCGGCCGCTCGGGCGCGCGGTCAGAGTCCCGGTTGGCCTGTGTTTTGCTGAGTGCAGTGTGTGGTGTAAGGATGCAGAAAAAGGTCTAGAGGTCTTGTAGCATCAGCTTAGCCTCAACCTTTTGGCACCAATTAACCCTGGAAGAAAACAACAACGCTCTGGTAACCTCTGGCAATCTTTGGTGAACTCTGCAACGTTAGTTTTACGTCAAGAGAAAACAGTGCTTTGGTGTTTGTGCACATACTCACTAAGAGATTAGTTTACTTATTATAGACATGAATAGGTTTAAGTTCTTAAAATACTTTTTAGTACAGATAAACTTAATTAAGCCTAGATAAAAGATTTGGGCTGGGACTCATTAAGCTCTTCCAAACTGGTAGACTGAAGTCAGTTTTCTCCTCTATGTACCTTATATTTGCATTATTAACAACTCAATCGGTCTGATTGGCATCATCAAAAGGATTGAGCCAATCAAGTCTTCCTTCTAATTTTTCAATTCATAAGAAATTGGATATAAGTGAGCTAAAACACAAAAAATATTATGATGGAAAAACAGTCCTGTAATGAAGCAAGGCATTGCTATTTTCATTCATAGTGAAGATATATATTATTCCCTAATTTGTCAATGAAAGCATAGTTGTTTAATTTCTTGTGGCAAAAATACTTGCAGGAAAGTTTGCTCACGAAACATCAGTTAGATAAAGCCTAATGTCAAGAAATATTTATGACAGCTAATGGATAATTTTATTAAAGTTTGTTTACAGAAAATTGTGCAAACACAGCAAAGGCAACAAATAAGTGCTTCCCATAAAAAACAGAAGGCAACAAAAAAATAAATGTCGCACACAAAAAAAAAAAAGTCAAATAAAACTAAACATGGAAAAAATGACCCCAAGTGGTCTGAACTGTGTAAACTGCACAGTGGTCACAATTTTGAGGAACAAGGTAAAACGCAGTTGTGTTAATTATAATGAGGAAACCTGGACAAATTTATCCGTATCGGACATTTAAGCAAAAGGACAAATCAAAGCCCTTTAGATGAACAAAAAGAATCAATGTCAAACATTCAAAAACACTATTACAATGCAGTGCTGTAATAAAGAAAATAATGAGAAGTTGGAATCCAGATTAAAATGAATGATGTTCCAGCCTTTCAAAGGCAGCTCAAAACAGACGAAACAAAAGTAAAAATTACCTTCATTTACATTTCATTCCAGCTGGTATGACTGTGCAGTCAGACTGTCAGATTTGATAAAACCAAGTAAAGAGGAACAGCTACCGTGCTGAGAATATAGCTATTTATTTCTTTGCTTGACTTTAACTCACATTTCTTCTTCTGTTTTTTATCTTGTATGACTGCAGCAGGAGCCCTGAGGTGTGTCTTGAGAACACTACATAGAAGTTTCGATAATTTGGCAAAAAAAAAAAAAAAAAATTCATAGAAGAAATTCAACTAGACAGAATTTCAAAATCAAGAGTAAAAGAAAAAAATCTTTTTGGGTGTAATTTTACCCAGAAACACGTATCAATAGTAATATTATTAATAAAAAATACTTTATACCCAGCATATGCGGTAACAGTCAAATATTTAGACAAGGTAATGAAAAAAGTAAAACGGTGTCCAAACGCTTGACTGCTACCGCGTTTCTGTGACCATTTGAGGGATCCAAAGTGTCAGCAAACACTTCCTGCTCCCTGGAGGAAAACCTAAACCCCCCGACACATCCTCCAGCCTCCCGACCTACCTGTCACCCCCCAGGAGACCTTCTGTCACACACTTTGACAGTCTCTGTATGGGTGTGTATGTGTGCGCAGGAAGAAGGATGGGAGCTGGTCGCTTTGCATGAACATTTCAAATCCACTTCACAGTGACAGAAATTGATATTTCTGACATTTTCTCTGTGTTGAAATTCAGATATTCTGTTTGCCAAAATATTCAGGTGGACTTGCGATATGCACTGATTCATATCTAATCAAAGAAAATGATCTCTTTGGACCTTTTCATTGAAAGTGGAAAAACTATTTGTAAAAGTAGCGAGTATCTTCACTCTTACTTGACAATAAAATGGACCATTGTACACATTAATATCTATCAGTTAATTTATATCATATACAAATTCAGTGTGTGCTTCTCAAACCAAGCTGCAGCTCTTATTACAAAATAGCATTACACTCCTTCAATTTTACTCTTCATTCAGTATTAACTGAAATTTATTGCTGATTTGTTCAACATGTATGACAGAAATGCATAAATATTTTGTGAATATTTTGTGAAAACCCTTTCTTATTTCATTTTTTAAACCTTTAGAAAACAAAAATTGTACAAACACTACTGGATAAATTAAAATTGTGGGTATTTTGCACAGTTTTCTAAAAGAAAAGATTTCTTGTGACACTGGGCATCAGCTGGATTTCCCCCCTTTTATTTTTATTCATTTTAAGTTCGGGGAGATATAATTCTGATTATCCAACCATTTTGTTTGTATCTTTACCAAACTAATTGTCCTTACATCATATTTTGGGTCATGTAAAGATAATTTTTCTCATCTCTGACCTGTCAGCTGGTGTTGTTATGGAACTGACTCGGTAAATTCAATGTTTTCTCTCTCAGCTTTCTGAGATCCAGTTGGGAACGAGTTGATTCCCCTTGTTCCATTTGCGATGTGTATAAATGGGACATTTGCTCTGCTGAACATGTTAGACACAGAAAAAAAAACACACTTCATAATTAACACACAGGAATTGCATTGAATTTATTAAAAAAATTTTCATCAGGAGAACAAGTACTGGATAATGGCTTAATATTTGCATTGCTTTTACTAAACTTCCATTTAGTCAGCAAAAGTTTTACTTGAGAATCAACAAACGTCTTAGCAGATTGAGGAAAGGTGATGAGCAACAGAAGGTTTATCAACTGACAGAGGAGCAATGCAATCGACTTTTAAATGTGCCGCTGCCTCTGAGCAGTTAAACAATAATAATACAAACTATTTAATCTATTAAAGAACATAAATGCAAAGGATGTATTCTAATTAAAATATCCACGTGAAAATACTTTTTTTTTTCCAAATTTGTGACAATAAGTGACAATTTAGTCTGGAAAGGCCTTCCCATCCATTAATCCATCACCTTCCGCTTAATCCAAGGTTGGGTCACGGAGGCAGCAGTTTAAGAAAGAAGGCCCAGACTTCCATTGTCCCTCCAATGTCTGGGTGTTTCTCTGGGTGTCTGTGGGACGTGGCTGGAAATCCTGACCAAGGAGTCAACCAGATGCCCCGACCAGATGCCTGAGCCACCTCTACTGGCTCCACTCAATGAGGAGGAACAGTGACTGTACTTTAAAACTCTCTAATTGATTGAGGTTCCTCAGAATGAAAATCATTTTAGGCGCTTTTATCTGCTGGACAGAATCATTTTATATTAAAATAGGTTATCATTTGTGAAAGTGTAGATTCATTAACCTCTCAGCCTATCCTTTTCTTGTAAATCTTAACATGTATCATTGCAACACATTTAAATTTCCAGCCACTCTGGTTCCTCAAAGTACATTTTGTACTAAGTACTCAGTATGCTTTTTTACTTTGAACACACTTTTGTGTAACAAAGAAGAATTAAAAACATTCTTCTCAAAATAAATACTTGTTTTGAATACCTATATTATATTTTGATAGATGCCTTTCTTATTTCATATCAGAAACATGTTAGCGGAAATAAAAACCAAGTCTAAATCTAATAGGAGTATGCATAATTTTAGTCTCAATTGTACTTCTATTGCAGCCTTTCCTTGCAATTGATTGAAACGAATTGGAGAAAATTACTTCAAAGTATTGAAGTGTGTACAGAAAATGCAAAATTTAGGTATGAAAAAACAAATTACAGAGATTTAGGAAGGCAAAGAAATAAAAAATAAAAAACTACTGACACTGGAAACAAAAAATATTCTCAAAATATCTTGACATTTCTTTTCCCACTTAGCCTAAAAAAAAACTGTTCAGTTTTGTTAATCCTTTATTTTTCTCATGATAAATTCTTGCAATGCAAGAATTTGTGCTTTGAAGTGTTATAGTTGTTCAAGTTGTTCAATTATTTGTGTAATTGAGTGATAATAACACTGCAAAGCAACATCATCATATATTCATTTACATGGAAAGGAGAAAACTGAGATCTGATCAATCAGATTTAAAAGCCAAAATAAATCCTTCACAAGAACAAAAATAAGATGAACAAACAATTCAGTCAAGTTAATGCGACACATGTTGTGTTATTGTCTCAGATATTGTCTCTGGTACTGTTTAGTTCACCGTGATTTGCCTCCCTTTCTAGAGAAGACTTTATTAAAAAGGTGAAATGTACCTTTTACCTTAAGCAACATATAATGTGTAGTCAAATTAACTGTGATTGAGATGTAATGGCTTCTTCCTTTGATTTAAAAATGAATTGATCTGCTTGGATATTTTTGTTTTTTCTTTGCCTGAAAAGAAAAAACAAACTCTCCGGGATTACGTTACTTATTACTTCTTTGTATTTAAGTTAAAATGTTTAGCATTAAATATGACCAAATCTACCAGAAAACCTTCTGCTTGCTCTGCTCTGCATAATCCATTGAACCCAATTTTAACCTTTCACAATACAAAAAAAGTTTTCAGTGGAAGTTAAGTAAAGTTTGTCCTTCTGAAGTCGTTTTAAGGTTTAAACCTTTTCACTAATAGATCAGATCTACAGCTTGATGAGGCTGAATTTTGTCAGTGCAAACGTCCAGTGGTAACTCAAATGCAGTTCTACACAGATGGCTCCACATGAATCTTGGAATAAAGTTTGGTTTTCAGATTGTGTATTATACCAAAGCTGGAGTCTCTGGAAGTGAGGCCTCAGCTGAAGCATGAAGACATGCCGATTTATAAATATGATACATTTCTGTTATTGTCACAGTTGTTTATCAATGATATGGAATCGACACTGTTATAGACATACAATATGGAAATAAGTAATTGTTTGTTGTTGTTTTTTTTTAAAGCTGATGTGTGAATGATGAATTGTTATTTCGTCCCAAGCGAGCAAGTTCGCTACAAGTTTTTTATTTCTCAACTCAACATAAATTAATAGCTAAATTTGGAAGAAATTACAAAGACAGACTGGTTGAGCAAGCTTATTTTTTTCCATCCAGAATATAGAACGGTCTATCCAAAGTTTATCACAGATGTAAAATGTAGTCATATGACAACTAAAACCCAGTTTTCAATGCATTCTTGAGAAAATTGAAACAACAAACTTATAGTGGATCCTTCTGTAAGCAAAAATAAAACTCAAACGATATTAAAATAGAAATATGTAAGGGCAGGGATTTCACAGACCAACACAATTTGTGCACAATTTTGAAGATCACCATGAAAATGTATTATTTTCACAAATGAAATCATCTGAACACCAAGAAAATGACAAATGTTGTTATTTAGAAATAAGACCATCTGTCTTTTTCACTTCTATTCAAAATTGTGCACAATTGTGGTGGTTTGATATGAAATCCCACTCTACTGGTTAAATGTTTTGGTTCTAGCATTAAAAAATATGAAAAGTTCAATAAGGATTAATACTTTTGCAAGGCACCCTGTATATGTGGTATTGTTCCTAAATATTTGAGGTTATAATTTGCAAATTTAAGAAAAGCAGTTGTCATTTCTATGTATTTTTATGGAGCTCAGGGTGTGGCGTCCACATTTATATATTACTAATAAGAAACTAAAAATCTTCATAAAAGTGATCATTGGCACAAATTCCTTCAGTGATTTATTGGGTTTTTAAGTCCAAATTTGTATAGAAAAACATTAATTTTGGTCTTAACAGCATGAAAATTTTACAATATAGCAAAACAAAAATACATTTTTTTTTCAATTAGAAAAATAAGTGGAGAAAAGTATTGAATGATTTTTGCTTTTACATGAAGTCCACATTTGTAACCTAAATGTTGGTTGGTTATATTTATATAGAGAAAAAAAAACTGCTAGTGATGCCTTGTTTTTTTGTACAGTTTTATGTACATGCAAGTGTAGGTTTTTGAAAGATGAAGATGAGAAACTATATATATTCAAATCCGTGAAGGAATCCAGAACCTGTAGGAATATATCATCTAAAGTACCGTAGGATCTATTGTAACGTAGGAGAGAGGAGTAAAGCTCAGAGTGGAGGAAGACAGCGTCCCTCCTCCTCCGATCATTCACCCACTCCTAATTTTTTCCATTTTCCATTTTCGTTCTGAAACTGATCTCTTGTTTTCGATGTCTTTTGATTCTCTTGGAGGACGTTTGGTGATGTGTTTGATCCTCATCTGTTCTCTTTCTATTGGCATGTTTGAATAAAAAAATGTGGTATTTTATTTTTGCTGAGCAAATCAAAGAAATATCTTGTAATTACTCCTTCCTTATAGCTTTACAATAAAATCCATTCAGTCGAAGAAAGATGATGAGTGAGTCCTTTTTTTCCACTAATGTAGACTGGGGTCATGGGTTGTGTCCAACTTTATCAGTTGCCATTATATAGACTGAAAGCACAATAACTAACATATTTAAGACGTCTATTTCGGGTCATTATACATATTCTCTTTCTCCTATCCTCCCATCAAATTTAAAAAAGCTTATAAAACTAAAACAGTTAAAAGGTGTCATACTACTCTAATGTCTCTATTACAGCTTGCAGCTGTAACAGAGACAGTTGTTAGTCTTGATTTAAAGGAACTCAGTGTTTCAGCTTTTCTGCAGTTCTCTGGAAGTTTCTTCCACATTTGTGGTGCATAGAAGCTGAATGCTGCTTCTCCATGTTTGTAATAGCTGAAACGGTGTGGTGACTCTTGATTGCTTCTCTTTGGTCCAGAAATAATTGTGTCAATGTTGGTTTTGCGGTCCAGCAGAACCAGTAATGTGATTCTTCCACAGTTTACATTCAGAGATCATTTAGGCAGTCTCAGGTCTGTGGAGAGCACAGCATTCGGACTGAAAGGCATCAATAGCAATAGCAACTTGTCCAGATTTCAGCAGTAATGATTTTAAGGCCTGGGGAAAACACCTGATGAATTTATAATTTGAAGAAAATCAAATAATAAAATAATAAAGGTAAAAGTTAATGTAGTTGCAAAGTCTAAAAGAAACATGAAAAACTTAAACGTGGCGTTTCTGAAAACCGTAAAGTCAGTCTCCACCTCAAATATTCAACGGACAGATCAGGCTTTCAAACACACCATCTCCACCAGATATGAAATGTGGATGCTTTGTTTCTAAAACCTGATTTTCAGTTAAACTCTGACCAGTTTTCATTGTCTGCACATACATTTGCGGCTTCAAACTCTTATTGTCTTACCAACCTGTCAGCAATGCTTAAAAATAATCTCTTCTCAGTTTTTATTTTATTTTTATTATTTTATTGGATTCCACTTCAGGAAATTGAATGGTGAATTCTCACGTTGTACCCTGAAGCGAGGCATCACCCAATCACATTTCAATGGAAACAAACTCAGATGTGTGTCTGCAGTGTATGAGGAATATCAAACCCACTCTGAGGAAGGCGTTTATGACACTCCGCTTATAGCGCTGTTGCATCGCATTACAGCAGTAAATTGAAATTCGGGGCAAAATGATTATATTCATTGCCTCACAATATTTCTGGGAACAACAAATGAAAAATATTATCAGGGCTTGTTTTGAAGCAGATGACACAGTTGCAGCAGGTTGCTTTTCTCTGCCTTCTTTCCCCCAAAGGTTTCATCACTTTAACCCATTTCCTCGTCCACGTTTATTTAAGTTATTTGTCTGCTCTTCTCCCGTTTTATCCATAATTTTGTCTCCTTCCTTTGCAAGTCCCCCTTGTTTTCCTGGTTAGTTTTTTTTTCTTGTCTTCTTTGTGTTCATATTACATTTTATCAGTTATCTCCTCCCTTTCTCTCCCTTGTCCATATACATTTAAATAGTTTCCTGCAATATTGTTGCTTCATTTCTTCATCCTATTTTTCACTATTGTTTTTCACCTTCCATCACTACTTATTTCCAAACTTAATTTAGTTTTCTAGTCTTCAATCTCTTCTTCAAGTCCACTTTCAACTTGCATCTTTGCTTTTTCTTCAACTTAAATTTTCCTAAAAATATTTTTCTCCCCTTTATGATTTTTTGAAATTTGATCAGATATTCCCATCCTATTTTTGTGTGTTTCCATTTTTCTTTCTTCTTCTTCTAATTACGTTCTTTTTTGTGACATATCCTCTTCACTTTGAATCAGTCTTGTGAGGTTCTCCAACCATTCCTCTTGTTGTTTTTGCTATCATAAGCTTCATTTATATTCCCTGATTATGTATTTTCTTCTCCACTCTTGTCCTTTTACCAGAGTTTTGCTTTTCTCTGTGATCTAATTCTTCTTTTTTCTCACCTTCTTTTTACTCTCTTGTTTGGAGCAGTGGGTGGGCATCAGGGACTCAGCACTGGATTGGTGCAGTCAACTTGGCAGAGCAAACTTTCTGTGTCAGCCTGAGGGACCGCTTATCCTACGCTGCTCTTCTTTCATGCGGGGTCCCACAGGGCTCGGTTTCAGCCCCTCTCCTGCTTTGTACTTGTCCCTTTTGGTTGCATACTGGAAAAGCACGGTGTGTCATTTACTTGTTTTTCTATTGGCAATCAGATACATATTTTTAAATATTCTACAAATGTGTAAAGTGTCATTGACAGAAATGTATTTAAGGCCAGAATGGTTCTCAGATTTTTAATAGTTGAATGCGTCTGAGACTGATGTGATGTTATGTGTTCGAACTGCTGAAGCTTCCCTGGTTGATATGGATTTTGAAAACCAACAATGAGACATTTTGAGGTTAAAGTGGATGGAGATGTTACATGTGACAGATCTGGACAGTAGTCAGTTCCTGCTTTTGTCAGATGAAGCAACTTGAGAGAACATAAATGGTTAGCATTTGAACAGTGCTTCATCAAGTGTAAAGACTCCAAAGCGCATTACATTACATTCAACATCTCTTAATAGTTTGGAAAACAAATGTATAAGCGTTTCTATTATTAACATTTTAGATCCTGAAATTCTAAACATGTCTTCAAGTATGAAACATCCATTGACTATATTTTTAGATCCTCCTTTCATACCCCTGTTCCTTGTACTATATATTGTAAACATATGACAAACTATTAAAGATTTATATAAAAGACAATTTGGTTACAAAAGTATATGATACGTACGGGTTGACTGCTTATCCTCGACTCAAAAAGACAAATAGCTAAAGAAGGAAGTAAATAACCAAAGCTATTTAGCTCTTGTTCTTGAGCATAAAGATTACTAGTCAGGAAAAGACGATCTTTTACAATGGCTTTGGTTTTAATGTGCCATCTGTATGCACACATCATCTGCTGATGCCCATAAAATAACTTTTTAACACCTCTATTAGACCTCATGTAATTCTGTCACTGCATTCAGATCAGTCAATCAGTCATGGCTTGCTGTTAACTATCATTAACAAATCTAGAGATGGTTGATTTTAGAATTGGATGGTTGTGGTGCTTTTGCTTTTTTAGTTACAAAAAACATGTGGGAACGAAAAAAAAAGATACTTTTACAAATTAAACCACTTCTGTCCCAGTTTACCAGACGCTTTTAAAAATGTGTCAGTTTGTTCTGTCCTTTGGGCATTGTGCAAGGCTATTATATTAATGTTTGATTTCATTTTTATTTTATTTCTGTTGTTTTATTGCATTTGCAGTTTTTGTTCACCATAATATTTTTCATTTACATTGTATTTTAAATAAATTTTATGTTCCATATTTTATTATACATTTTTTATTGTATTTGTCTGCATTGTGATTTGTTCAAACCGCCCACACCTGTATCTCAACACTGAGTGAGTCAGCTGTTTTGACTGGATAACAGGGACATCAGCATGTTAGTTTCCAAAACCACATATACACACACACACACACACACACGCACCCCCCCCCCCCCCACACACACACACACACACACCCACACACCCCCACACAGGCACACACGCACATGCAAGCACACACACAAAAACAAACAAAAAGAAAGAAAACAATTTAAAAAAGCATAATAAGTCCTGCATGTACAAACACACATATGCTCAGTCAGCCCAATCCAAGACCTTGTGCAGGGGGTAAAGCTGACATGCATTTATCTCAGACTATTGTAAATCTTTAAATTATCAGTTTTTTCCCTGAACTTGTTCTTGTCCCTTGAACCTTTATTGTTCCCTCTGTTTTGCTTTTGCTTTATTTTTTCTTTTTTTCTTTTATCCATTGCCCATAATTGTATGTGGTTACAGAGGAAATGTAATTTGAGCCTAAAAGAGGAAATAGATGATTTTATAATATTGTAAGATGAAACCATATTGATTCTCTGTAGTTGAATCAGGACACAGCAGTGGGAGAAAGCATAAAAAAACAATTAGAGGCAAAGAGTAGAGCTAATGGAGGAAATTGATATACCAGAGGAGCAATTTCAAGCTGATAAGGTCACATTTGTGAACTAAAAAAGATTAAATCTATAATAAATATACAACCTACGCAGGCATTTGATGAAATAGTTACCAAACACAAAGTGTCAAAGTTTAAAACCTTACTTTTATTATTTAATTTGTAAAGTTTTGCTTGTTCTCTTTGCTTATTACATCAGTTTTCAAGTTTTATCTTAAAAGTTTGGTAAAGCCCTTCAGATTCCAGATTGTAAAACATTCTATGAATTTAAAAACTGTAAAAACTAATAACCCGGCCTTCAGAGTAACTTTAGGGTCACTGCACCTGATCCCCAACACAGATAAAGCAAAGTTAAATTATTTATATTTTAGAAGTCCAACAGTAGCTAATTTCTGTTTTTCTTTCATGTTGAGGTAACAATTCAGGTTTAAAACTCAAACTTGAAACGTGTGTGTAAAACCTCCTTCACAACATATTTATGTCCTATGTATTTTTCCAGGATGATGGTGGAGAGGGAGGAATAAACCATCAGTAAACTCACTCTAACTATGACAGAAATTGCTGCCAAATAACGAAGCCGTGAGAATCTGAGTCTATTTCATTATCTGAAAAACATTCTGTAACATGTGCACCTGAAGCAAATGGAAAGAATTCATGTTAACATAAATAAAGAAATAAAACACAAGAATTATTCACAGACAAGACAACCAGGGAAATAATCAGTTGAAAAGTTTTCCAAAACATTTTTTGTTCTTTTCATCAGAAAGACCATTGTCATTCGAAATCCTTCAATTTTCTTCAGACTGCTAAAATTTTGAGGACTAGTCGGCTTTACACTTCTGAAGAGCAGAAAGGTGGAGAGGCGGAGCCCCCTGTTCTGTGTTTGGGAAGTTATTTTTTCAGCTTGGAAAGCAAGCAATAGAAAGCCAAGGAGACATCTAGAATTTTGTGTAATTGGTATTAGGCAGGCTGTCAGGCAGGCGGGAGGT